CATATGATGGCACAGCAAATGTACCTTTGGGAGTGTCCATACCACTGAAATCAGGTTAGGCAGACTGTAACTGAGACAGCTTTTTGGTTGGGCAAAGAGACTCTAGTTCCAAGGATGAGATAATTTTTCTATTGCTGAATTATCAAGATCCTTGAGATACAGAACCAGCTCTCTTGAAAGGAGCAGCTGATCTCATGTCATGTCCCTGGACCCATGCACTTATTCCTCCTCTGGCTCAAAGCCTCGTGGGGTAATAAGCCAGTTGGCCACAGTCTCTCCTATTTCTGCAACCTCTTATTAGGCCTAGCAGATCATACACAGTTGTGACTCTCCACAAAAATAAAACCGACCCCCTAACGAACAAAGGAAAAAACCACAGCATCTCCATTCCAGTCAGTGAAGTAAGCTGAAAGCATCAGCTCAGTGATTCTGGAAGGGGGAAAGGCTCTTCTTTCATGTCACAGAAACCCTTAATTAACTGCAGGCTATCAACAGCCAGGGGACTTTCTTCTCAGAACCCTAGCCAAGCCCAGCTACTGAAATAGATTCCCCAAATAAAATAGTAAATCCTGCTCAAGAAAGCCAAGTAGTTTTTCAGCACTATTTGGTAATGGAGCATAACTAGTGCATTTGTATTCCCACACAAGAGAAGAAGGGTTGGTGGTATACGGGCCCTTCTTGAGCTGATTTATTCCATCTACACCACCATACTCCCTGTATTAGAAAACCCTCACACAACTTAAATATAACAATATTTTTTATCCACCATTAGCTGCAGCTTAGCCAGAAAAATCAACAATAAATGAATGCTGAAAAAATGTACTTCAAATTGTCCCACAAATGTCTTGCAAATGAAGAGCATTAGGTTGCCATGAGGTGCCAGTAGAAACTGGACAACTGTGTGAAAAGCAAACAATTTTTCTCTTAGAATGATCTGAATTGATGAAAACCTTCAGAATTGTATCCACTAAGAAACCAAAACACCTAATGAAAAAACTCCAAGGTATCTAGAAAGCATGATATGATCCACAAGGCCAGCTGCTCTTTTGTTTCTGCTCATATTTATGTGCACAATAAAAGCACATTTTAAACCCAAATATGTAATGCAAACTGAAATAGGAATTAATTTGTCATAAAGCCAAGGAAAAGATTCAGTGTTAAGATTTTTAGAGTAGACAGTGGAAGGCCTTACATGTAAAAGTAATTTAAATCTAAATCACAGTAACTGTAGGAAGCTCTGCCTTTGTCTTCCACCTACCATACTAAGACTTTCCCACAGGGGAGAACAACAAATAGCAAATAAGTTTTGATTGCTTGGGAAAGCTGGGCAAGCAAAGCACCTTCTTAATTACATTATTCTTAATCATTAAAGTCTGCTTCTTTGTTTGATACTGTGTAATTATGGCACATCCCAAAGTTTTAAGACGCCTCTTTTCAATTTGCTCCCTAATAGAAAGAAATGCCGTAAGGGATGTTTGTCCAGAAACTGGTGTTGTGCTAGCAAGTAGAAATTTACAGATGGTTACAAGATACACATCAGCACCTGTATTTCCCCAAGCTCAAAAAGTGGTTATTGATTCAGGAGTGTCTTGCCCATAAATCTCAACATTAAAATCGGAAAACAGAACTCTAAATAATAAAACTGAGTACTGAGAAAAGAGAGGTCACTTCAGCAATTTGTAGTTTAAACATTAAGAAAATTTGATTTGTTACACAGACTGAGCACTATTGTAAATGCGAAAGAAAGCTTTTTGACATAGTGTGTATGGAGATATTATTCCTTTGTTTTTATAGACATAAAAAGAAATCACATGTTAACCTATAATATTTAATACTATATATGAATTAGAAAGCTGCAATATAATGTCAACTGCAGTATGCAGAATTCAGCATGAAAAGATTATTAAAATAGTAGAATGGATAATTATTTCAGAACTTCTTTCAAATGCAAGCTTTCTTGTTCTGTTGCATTTTGGTGTCATTTTTTTTTCCACAAACTGTATATAACTACATTACTAAGTCTAAACTTTCTGAGTAATAGTCACAGTTTTGCACAGCAATTTCGTTTTAAGATAAATAGGAAACTTCCCCCTCCCAAAAGACATTTTGTTTATGTGAAGTGCATATTACAGAACTTTTCTGGACAGTTATGATCTCTTTTGACAGTTGTTTTATCCAGAGCACAGATGTTTGCCACTTAACCATGAATGTTGGCTGACCTGCCCACATCTCCATAAAAAGCAGTTGTAACAAAGTTTTTCTGCAAATGGTTATGCAAACAGGAATCTTCATCTCGTGTATATGAAGTATACCCTTTGTAATACATTCAAAAGCACTTCTGGGAAAAAAAAAAAAAAAAAGAAAAAAGGCTCACAAGTACATGTACTGAAAATCACACTGATGAGGGTATAGATTATAGCCAGAACAGCCTTAGCAGCTAATTCAAGATGCAGATTATTCTTTCAGAGATCAAATTACTTTGCCAGTGCTCTCCCCCCCCCCAAAAAACCCCAAGAAATCAGGAAAATGGTGTTTATTTGTGGTTTTTTTCATTAAGTAAAGCAGTACCAACTCTTCTCCTTAGATTACCATGTAATGTAATCCTGGGGTAAAAACAGTAGGAAAGGAGTTGACCTGTGTTTTAAGTGTCAGCTGCTCAGAATGGCAGCAAAAGGCAAAGGAAAGCTGTGGTAGGCGATCACCACACAGCCAGTGCTCATCCTAGAGAGACCATCCAAGACCATGCAATGTACAGCTTACCATCCTACTCTCAACGCTTCCCCTCTACAATGAAGTGGGCTAGATCCTTCTCTGCTAGACCCTGAAAATGAGCACACTCTGGTTCCTTGAAGAGCTACATGCAGAATTCCAGTTTACCTTTAAATAGTCATTATAGCCATTAGTACTAGAAGGGGCTGGAAAGTTACTGAAGTCAACTGCCATCACAATCAGTTCCTTGTTTTCTTGGGAAAATGTAATCTCACTAGGGAGAAATATGAGAAAGCAATTGGCCATCTCCTCACTCTATTGTTTTACAAGAATTTATGGGTGGGGTTGAATCTTTTTTTAGAGGAGACATAATTTGGGGGAAAAAACCAAAACAAAACCACAAATTGTACCACATCAGTTGCTGAAATCTTCCAGATTCCTTATGATCTCTGTACCTCGTAAACAGAGATAATCTCAAGAGAACTCAAGAATAAGGCTTGTGATTTACCCAATTGTGTCTTTTTGTTTATCTGTGTACACAAACATAATTAAGGAGTGGCCAAAAGCCAAAAGCCCGCACACAATGGCCCTGATAACGTCCCTATATTTTATTTTCATTGTATGGATGAGATCATGTTTGTTTACATCTTGTAAAATGCATCCAAGGTCTGACTTAGCACTTTTTCAATGCCTCTAGAAGGCTATAACATTAGTTTTAAGTTACAGAACTTCAACATGTATTTTGATGGCATTAGGCTTTACATATTAACTAAGTGTTGAAAAGTTATTAAAAATACGTATCACCTGAGGTACTGAGATTTAAATGCCTATTGTAAAATGAATCTATGATGACTGGATTTTAATGTATTAATTATTACCCTATTAAAACACAGTATTATCAATTTTGCAATACTACATTATGAGATTATGCTACCCATAATTGAACAGTAAGACCAAAAAAATCTTGTAAAAAAAAAAATCTATGTCAAGTTTCTGCTAGAGGGTCAATGCCTTCATACAAGTGTACTACAGGCAAAAATGCTGTCAGTTTATTTTTGAATTTTCATCATTAAAGCTACTATTTATGTATGCTGCAGGAAAAAAAAAATAACTGCAAAATATATAGCTTGAGTGCTTTGTCAGAAGAACATGGTAGGTGTTAGGAAACCAAACACAATTGGTTTCTTTCATCATTATGGAACTCACTTTTTTGTAATTTAAAATGAATGCCAGACAAGAACCATTGTCACAGCATCTCAGAAGAATGTAACTCAGTTGTGAGCTAAATATATGTTCTCTTAGCTCTCAAGTTTTCATGCTTATAATCAGATCTCCATGGGCAATTTTCACTTTTTCTAACAAGTAAATGGCCAGACAGTGCAGCTCAGTAAGAAGGTCCTGGGTACTGAAAATGTACATGGCTCATATGCATGTAAGTAGGTGTTAATTATCAATGTACAAAGATTATTTCACCAGTTTTTTTCCCAGAGAAATTCAAATTTCAGCAATCAAAATATTCTGGTTCATGGCCAAAGATAATCTTCTGCGCCTCACACAGCATACAGACGTAATACTGTGTATTATGTGTGTATGTTGTGTGAAGCATACACAGGTAATATTGTGTTCTAAACAAGCTACTGTCTCCTCCTTTCAGTAACTGTTACCATTTGTTATGAGCTAGGCTATTTTGGGAGAATCAGGACCTAATTTAAAAATAGGATTTGTAGATAAAACTGTTTTAATATCTAGAAGTCAAGTTCCTTTTTATTCTCACCCCAGGAGGAAGAATTGGTATTTCTAGACAGGAAAATAAAATAAATACACCAGAAACTAAACTCTTTACAATTTGTGCGATTTTTCCCATGATGTTACATTTCTAAACATGACTTCTGAGGGACAGAACAGTGTTTTTACTGTTTAGGCAAAACATGAGAAGAGATCTTACATGATGCTCCTTCAGATGTCAACCTAATAAGTTACTTCTTGGCAAATTCTGGTGTACTGTCCTTACACCAGTTCCCAGCTGTTTCCACAAAAGTAGTACATCAGTCTTCTCTCCCTGATGAACACCAGTGGCTTCCATAAAATGAATTCACATTTTGAACACATTAATCCGGCAGGTTTCCAGGAATATTGAGAGCCTAATGACCAACCTAACAGCAATAAAACTTAAATTTCTCTCTTAAAAATTACAATTAATGCTGAAATTATGTGTGTAAGATGTTGCAATGCTTTTGTTGCTGGCACAGTTTAGAATTTAAAATATGATACGGGAAAAAAAAGACAAGAGAAGTTTGGAGTGCAAATATTCTTTGGTTTACTCATTAAAACAAAAGAACACAGCAAACAGCAAAAACACTGGCAATTAAATAAACAGCAAATTCTTTATATGCTTCCTAACAAAAAGTCTTTGGCTGTTTGAAATGTATTAACTTCATGCTTTTAAGTACATTACAGTGTCTAGAAAGTCACATTTTTTATCCCCAATGTCAAGGCAGAGAGAAGGTGAGGAAGAAAAAGGATAAAAAGTAGGAAGTAAGAAAAGAAGAAAAAAAATTTATTTAAAATTCCATTTTGCCATTAGTTAAATAGTATATAACATAATGATAACATTAATTTCTGTTTCTACTTTCATTGTACACAAAGCAAATTGGCTTGCAATTTATTTATCAACTTTGGTGAATTCACATGATCATACACATCAGACTAGTATATCAGATATACTGACTCACATCTTTTCTAAAAGAATTGTGACCCCTCCAACCCAAATGATTGATTCTATGATTCTACTAGCAGAATTCTAAAAATCTTAAGGAATTGCACAGAGAAGTCACTGTGTTTTATCTTATCGTAGGCAGAGTTTAAATTCTGTACCACAAGCAGTTTCTTGGGAATGCTCTTTCCCAGTTCAGCTCTTTTCCTGTAGCTTATTCCTCAAATAATCCCCATGTAGTCAAAGGAAGCAAGCACCTGTGCAGGTCTATAAGGATGTCTACTTGGGGGAGATCCTGCCTTGCAGACAGGAAGTTTTCACCTCTGAGCTGGAGATGCACAAGCCTGCTGTTAAGACTCTATGTGACAGCATCACTGATTTTATTTAAAACTCAATGCTTCATAATGGCAACACTAGGAAGCTGTTATCTGTGCAGAGAGCATAAAAGACTATAACTGAATCAAATATGTCTATTTTACAAGTAAATTAAAGAAATTACAGAGTGTACCATCACCATGACAGTCTGTTACCAACACTAGTGGATTCTGATAGTTTAGAATTAATTCTGTAAATCTATGAAAGCTGCAGATTGTCTGACAGCATATTGTTTTGGTTTGTATATTTATCTCACAAGATTCTTACTCTACTTGAACCATTCTGTTTGATTGTCTTTATCAAGCTGTTTCCATAGGCAAAGCACAGTAAGAAAAGTCATGTGCAGTTTTTCTTCCAGATGGACTGTGAATAGCAACAGATAGCGCACAGTAAGAAATCAATTAATAAAGATATTTAGGAAAGATTTGTCATAATGTAAAAAAACCTCTTTGCATGCTCCCTTATTCCTTCATAAATCAACAGTGTTCCATCTACAAATAACTCATAGGCAGTCACCTCTAATACAAGTACTATATGTTCCCCTCATCTAGCATTTTGTTGACCCCATCACAAAGTTTCTGCAAATGGATTTTATAAGGTCCAAAGGGATTGTACAAGGCAGCCAAAAATTCACAATCAGAGAAGTGATCAAACACATTGTTGACACGTCCGTGTGACTTCGCAGTTAGGTGACGCTGAATGATTTCATGCAGCAGCTCTCTACATTCATTCAAGAGTTTGGACAAAAAGTTCCTGTCAAAGGTATAATCCACCTGATGGAAACTGACCACGGTCTTAGCCAGCTGATGGACCTTCTTCTTGAATTTCTCCATCAGTGCTATTTCATCCTGATTGAACTGGTTGTTCCTGTAGAGAATTGCCAATTTGAGGACTATTTTAATGAGGTTTTTGATGATCTTCTCTGCTTCTTTTTTATTTTGCGTATATTCCTTTGTTACTCTGTAAAGCTCATCTAAAACATCACTGCTTGTATCATCGATCAAAGTAGTCGCTATTGATTTGGACACCATTTTTCCAAGGATCTTCTTCTGGGCCTGAATGGCCAGACTTTTGGAGTTGAAGACATCTGTGGCCACTAGGAGAAGAAAAAAGTATGCAGTCAGTACTTCCAAAGAGACAGTCTCTGGACAGCAAGTTGAGGAATATTTCTATATTTATACATTCACAATAGTCTTACTAAGTGCCACAAAAATAATGCAACATAGTTGCAGAAAAAAACCCATATTTAAATCCCTAAAACTCTCTTTCTTTAGGTTTACTTCTTTCAGACAGTTTTACTTTTGTGAAAATACCAACTGAACTTGCTCAAAAATGGTTTAGAAGCTCTCTCTATACATATGGATTGATGGAATTTCAAATCAAGGCAATAAAACTGCCATATTTGCTCAGATAAGTCACAAATCTGATCTGATTCTCACATTCATAGTGAAATCTGAAACCAGGATTATTTCAATGTCGTGACAAATAACCCCTGCTGCTCAAATAGATAATAATTCAGTGAAGCAACCATTATAAAGCTTTTTCCTGCTTAGCATTTTACATGATCAGTGAATGCAGACACCACACAATTTTTTAAAGATATCTATTTTATACATATCTATAGATATCCATGCAGAAATACAAAAGAAATACAATATACCATGGTCAGCAAACAACACTGAGATTCTCTGGATGGAAACTGAAGACACTGGTTTTCAGAAGAAAAGCAAGTACAGATTAACATTTCCATGTCCTATACTTCATGCAGTAAAATCAAGACATTTACTTTCTAGGGATTGTCATAACAATTGTGAGCATAACATTTAAAAGTATCTTTTTGTGACCAATGAAGTAGATCCTAGACTACATTTCCAGTTCTAAAATTATATTTGATTGCACTAATACACCCATTGACTGGTTTGTACTTTTGTTCAGAAGAACAAAAAGTTCTTGTTAGAAAACCCCAAACAATCCTTCAGAAACTTGACTTGAAATGTTATCACTTGTTCTGTTGTCAGCAACAATTTTTTGATACCCTCTCCATTAAGACACACGTGAGTTGGTATTTGCAGGTAGCATTGTTTGGCAAACAGCTGCTTTTGTGCTGCAGCTCTCCTGGAGTCTCAGACAGGGGGAAGGAAGACTACATCTGTTTACATTTACTATACATATGAAAGGTTTGCTTAGCACACACTGGGACTGGAAATATTTTATTTTTTTTCTTTTAATGAAAACATCATCTCTGCAGATGTCAGACAGTAAGTCCCTGAATTTGGAAAAGGTTTCCTCCTAACTGCTGGTATGTGGGCAGCTGGGTGTGTTCAGACTAAGGGTGCCTCAGGGGTTCCAGCAAATAGAAGAAACTTGTCCTTCAGGACATGAAACACAAATCTCTATTTTTAATTCAAGAGTATCTTTGAGAAACTTAATAACAAGCTCCTTTTTTATCATCCCATAAACCTTCAAGCAGGTTTGTTTGTTGCAACTTTCGGTGCATATCAGTATTTTGTTTTGAAACATTAAATGTCTGCGCACATTTCTGAAAATCTTTACTACCAGAGGACACTCAAAAACCAAAGAACCCCTTGTTAACTATCTCGGGAAAAGCTCTCAAGATCACAAGACAGACACACTTCTCAACCACAAAGATACAGGAAGACATTAAAGATGCTGAGCAGTCATTTTGAACTGAAAATATTTGATTTTCTTTCTGTGTTTTTAAAGCTAAAACTGCAACAGTTACTATTAAAGTAAAACTAATCCATGTTTTCCAAAGGGTGATCAAATACTAGAACTCAACAGCCAATGCTTTACAAAGATCTACGGACAAATTATAACTTTCTTTCTTTTCCAGGAGAAAACAGGAATATCAATTATTATTTCATAACTTTCAATTATTAAAGTCTTCTTAGTATGGTCATGATGTCTTCTTTCTGTCACTCCACATGGATATGGATGTTCCTACTAGGAGCAGTTACTGTTTGGTAGTATGCTAAATATTTTACAGTTTTTCAACAAAAAAACCCTCTTATATTACATTATTTTACATTTTACAAAGTACAACTCAACACATAGTTACCTTTGCTAACCAAAACAGAAACTGCTCCATTTCAAAAGCTGCCAAACTCTTAAGGTATTTTTCTAATATCTGTCCAAGTTTTGGGGCTACCCAGCATACTTACATACTTTGCTACTTAGAGCAAAGTAGATACTTTCTATCTACTTTGCTACAAGTACACCAGAAGTTAGTTTCATTTTCCCTGTGCTGTTACATGGTTCTAATTTAATTGTTAAATATGTAAATTTCATACTTCAGTATTGCAGCCAATCCAAAAAAGGAATTTGCTAAGTCTTTGTAGTTTATAATCAGAATTTTTCCTCCTTACCAATGACAGAAAGACTTAAAATTTATTTCACGGCTTGAATAAAACTCAGTTTAAGCAGTAAGAGTATAGAGCTTCTTCAGAATGAACACACATACTTCCTTAAATAACAGTAAAGCTATTACTTACTTGTTCATCTCATGTAATTGCAGTTTTTACTGCTGACAGCAGAAAGAGAAGCAAAACACCCAAGGTGAAGACTGGCCTGTGGCGTATTTATTTTGGTAAATGCAGCGCACACTTTACCGTGTGCTTTGAAACATTGTCAGAAGCTATCACAGAGAGAATGTGGAGTTTTCCTCCTCGCCGTAAGGGCAGCTCTTCTCAGCTACCTTTCTCTCCTGCCTGCAGTGCTTTATTTTCCTTTGGCACCTCAAAATGCAAAAATACATCTCAGTGGTTTCACTTCCTCGAAGAGAGCACTGAAAGGAAATTGCAGCGCCCAGCAAGCAGTGCAGCACTGAGGGCTGTTCCTGCCAACTGACAACGGGAACAATTCACAGACAGGGAGGGAGAAGAAAGGTCCTGTGACTCCAGAGGACAGGTGACGTGTCAAGAAGAGGTTTTAAAACGTTGACCTGGTATCTGCAAGTGGCGATGCTCATCAGCGTATCAGAGGTGCCTGTCCCACAGGTTGTGCTGGGGAGGGCAGTGCTCCCAATGCAAGGGCTGCCAGGCACCCCCTTGCAAACTTCTGACTGCAATTTCAGACACCAGCACCTGAAAATGCACCTTTATACAACTACTTAGGGATGACTCTATGTAGACACATTTTTAAAGTGATTATAGTAGCTGGCATGGATGTCTGACCACACCTTCTGTGTTGACAGGTTACATCCTTGCACTTTATACTGAAATAATGTCATTTCTCTGGTGACCTGCAGGTAATCCCACTAATTTTAAGCATCTCACAGTTTGGTTTACCTCATGACTGCTCTTTATAGCTCCAATTTCTTTCCTCTGCAGTTTTATACTTTACTTTTTAAAAGGTTATCATCAAAAAATACCCCTTTGACATCAATGGGATGTCATTTTCTGCACAAACTACTCAAGTAAGCATGATTATGTGCAGTGAAGCCATGCCTCCACAGAGGAAAGTAGTCCAAGAGGAAAGGCTCTTGGAGGAAATCCTGCTTCCGTTACTTTGAAACTCACAGAATCAATTTTTGGAATAATACAGACATCTGCAAAATCTCCTAATTTATTATTGAAACGAGCAAACAAGGTGCTAAAGACCTCCTACAAAAGCTATGAGCTTAGTGATTATGAAACTTTTTGATTTTCATAGCCAAGCACACAGTGTGTGTGTTTAACGCGGTATTTTGCGTATTAAAATTAATAAATTCTGGACATATAAAATGTCTGGTATTTATTCTGGATGTGTTTTTCCCAAAATATTTTACCATACAGAGGTTTTCCTTAAACTGGGATGGAAGTGTAAACTTTCAGTGAAAATTTAAAATTGTGGTTAATAGACTCTCAGGAGACTGCTATGAAAGTACAAGAAGGCTCATACTTATGGCTGCAATGCTGACTTTTCCCTCACATGGAAGCTAGCACACCTCCCTCTGTACTGTGGCAAATGACTATTACACTATTGCCACATACCCTATGTCTCAGCTTTATTTAAATTTAAAAAAAAAAAAAAAGGTAGTATTTGGGAAAAAACCAGCTTATTTTCTTCCACAAGACAATAGTCTACGGTAGATTCAACATCACTCGCAGCTGAGTGTATGCAATCTCATGTACACTGACAATGAATACTTGAGTCAAAGAGTATTTTTAAAACTTCACATTGTGAAGGAGCAGGGGAAAAAAAAGCATCCACCAAAAACATTACAGTGAACCATCATAAATTCCATAGTCAAGAGTTGAGCTTTCTGAGACTCACTGCGTTGACAGAACAGTCCCAAAAGAAGAGAAAATATGACTGTGAAACACTGCTCCCTGAGACCCAGTTCTCATTTTAGTGACTGGAACACCACGTGCTGCACAAGACCCAAAAATGATGAGGGTTTTTGGGAACAAAAACATCAACATGGGCTTGAGAGGAAAGGGACAGCACTGACTGAGGGCTTCAGGCAGAATTTAAAAGACTATCACATAGCACTGAGGTGAGAATGGACATCCTGCTGGGAATCCTGTGTGGATGTGTGTGTTTGCCTCTCTACAGACTGTGTGAGAACAGCTAAAAGCCTGCACATGCCATACAAATTGCATGTTCAGTCAGACTCCTGTAGTGAAAGAGCACTATTTCCCTGGAGGGAGGCAACTTGAAATCAAGTGGAATTAGTGTTATGCTCTCTGACAGTATGTGACCATGAGTCATGCACCTCCAAAATCATGAGATTGCCTAGATATGAAGGAATAAAAGAATTACTGAATTTTTTTTTTTTTTTTTTTTTTTGCCTTCTGCTTTCTGGGTCTTCACAGGTCTACCCTTGTTTTCAGGAATGACACAGACCAGAAACATAAAAAAAATAAATACAGAAGCATATAAATATATGAATTCACATATAAATACATTACTTCAGTAAGGTAAAGCTACAATGGTGATAAACTACAAAAGTCAGCACCAGTGAACAAACAAGTCCTGAGGTACAAAATAGGCAGAGATAGTTACAAACCTGTTACCAAGGCTGTAACAATTTTCACAATGTACTTATTATATGTCAATATGATTAAAAAACTTGAGTGGTAGGATACAGACTAT